ACAATTTCATTTATATGTACCTACTAAATTATACTATTTAATATTTTACAAATATTAAATTCCCGTTAGATTAGTTGTGACCTAAATTTTTAAGAAATTTTCTATTTTAGGAATGGGCGAAAATATATTTCGATCCTCCCGCCCGTAAGAAAGATCTAAGTAAGCCACTGCACGCACCATCTGTGGTAACAAACTCTCCAAAAAATATTCTTACCCCTAAAATTTTTACCTAGATCTAAAATTTTAATTAAATATAAATTTTACTTTATAGGCCTATGCCCACTACTTACGCCAGAATCCAAATGACTTATTATCATCTACACACTCTAGAATAGAAAAAAATATGAGTTTGTATAAAAAAAATAATTTAAGTCGTATGCAAGAGGGTCTAGGTATTTTGACCCTTACTCCCCTTGGAAATTTTTTCATTTTTGTTTTATAATATATTAATACTAATCAAATATCATTAGTGAGTGTTCGAGTATATTATCAAATTACTATTAATTTCCATCCAACCTCGCTGCGCCGCGACGATTTTATTGTAGAATATTCTAGAACCAGGATTCAACTATGTTTCCATATACAGTGAATCCTGAATCCTAATAATTAAGTCTAGAATTTCTATGCANAAATTTTTTCATTTTTGTTTTATAATATATTAATGCTAATCAAATATCAATAGTGAGTGTTCGAGTATATTATCAAATTACTATCAAATTCCGTCCAACATCGCTGCGCCGCGACGGTTTTATTGTAGAATAGTCTAGAACCAGGATTCAACTATGTTTCCATATACAGTGAATCCTGAATCCTAATAATTAAGTCTAGAATTTCTATGCAATTGTGATTTTTTTTCTTTAGCCCAAATTGCTTGGTCGTCACATATGTCCACAATTGGGGTTGATTAAATAGAATAATTTTTTTTCCCCATATTTTGAACATAACGCCAGTGCCACAACATTGTTTTGAGGGGCCCAGGTGCGAACATTTTTATGGAGCTCCTTTTAATAATAACTATAGATAGTAGTCTTTTTTACACTATTAATCCCATATATAGCCCATAGGGATGGACTACCATAGCTGTACTAGTTCATATACCCTTGTGTTTCAAATTTATATCATTAAATTTTCATTCAAAAAACCATATTAATATTTCCATTTTTCATTGATAATGATACTTATTAAAAAGATTACTATGTTCCATGAATTGGTCACATCAAAATCATGTTTACCTAAATAACTTTGAAATTCATTAACACTCACTTAATTATTTGTTAAAAAAAGTCGGGTAGACTATAACCCAAGTACTAAGATAAAACCAAAACCCAGTTTTTGGTGTTAAAACTTAACAAAAAATGGAATATCATATAATTAATATTAGTTAATACATATTATTATTATGAATAATGTTTAATACTGTTATATTGTTTTGTTACAAATTAGTAAAATTACTTTTATAGAAAACTAAATAATAAAATATTTGACAAGTAACTTATAAATTATAATATCATTTTTAATTATTAAAATAAAATTTATAAAACGTTAAAAATTTTTAATCTTTTGCTGATGAAACAGTGATTGGCAATGATATAAAAATAATACATGCACTTAAAACATCTTTGAATAATGATACCATATCATTTTCTAAGAGACAATTTGACAGACCTTTTATAGTTTTCATAGTTGGAAGTGAATCATTTAAAATATCTTTTAAAGATATTATTTGTCTTGTAAAATCTGAATTAATATTTTTCTCATAAAACAAAATGAAGTCATAAGGAACTTTAATAAGGTTTTCTTCATTAGATTTTAAAATTACTTGTTGGTGTAAAAAGTTAAATTTATCAAGTAGTTTTTTAAACCTATACAACGATCTTTCAGTTGAACTAAAGCTGTATTAATTACTATCAAAAATATTTTTACTCTAAGGTTTTCTTTGGTTATTGTCTTTTATCTTCATCTAAATTACCAAAAAAATGTTTTGAAAAATATTCAGCATGTTGAATTTTATTCACTGATATTCCTTAACTATTACATAAATTTGTTGCAGAAGTAACCAAAGAATCATATGTCTCTCAAATTTTCAATGTTTAAATAGCTGATTGCAAACACACACAAGCATAATGTAGATTAATATTAATCGATTGTAATTTTTTAGACACTACATAGAATGGACTAAGCATATCATAAATGCCATTACTGCCATATGTTACAAAATTCCTTTTTAAATCTTACTTTGATACGTTTCGAAAATGGGATCATCTAAAGTTTTCGGATATCCTTTTGCTCCTATATAAAAGTATAATTTTACATATATATAAATATATTTATTGAAAATTAATATAGTTATAATACAAACAAACTGAAAAATTTCAATATATTTTTACGCACTGATATTGTGTTTGCAATCTTCGTTCAGAGATACTAAAAAATCCTTATATCCTACAAACAAAGAAAAAAAAAGCTAATATTAAGGATGGATGTGGCTACTATATTGTAGATGAGTATGTAGGAAGATGGAATACATAGTTATTTAATTCATACCTGTTACCTACAATTAATATTTGCCAATAAAAAACGATTCTGAGCGAAGTTCGATTTTACATGTTTTAAAAGACCGTAATAATTACGAAAATCGTCAAAACTTGATTTTAAAATTCTTATAAAAATAAAAAATACTACATTACATTAAATTTTTTTTTGACCTCAACATACGACTTAAAATGAATCTTTTGTAAAAATGTCAAGCATTTTTCTTGAGTCTAAACATTTTATTCATAGAGTACTTTACAAATAAACATTACGTAAAAAACTTAAAAAATTAAAATGTCTATAAATAAGTTTTCTATCTTAATTTCAAGTCTCTACGAATTTTTTAACTGAAATTCATTAAAAAACCAAATTTAAAATTCTAAAATAATTATTTTCGTACATTTTCCAGTTCTTTCTATGTATTTTTCGGGTTTGCTCAATTATTTAAAAACCTACAGAAAAAATCAAAAAAACCATTTTCTTGGTCACCGACCAGATTGAAAATTCAACAATAGGGATATCTTTTTGTTTTTTATTTTTATATTGGATCAATATTTCTGGTATAATATGGATAGCAAAACAATTTTAAATAATGAAATCATAACGCCGTAAATGTATTAGTTTTTATTTTACGGTTTCTTTCAGTTTTTCCTAGTTATTAATATTGGAGTATTATTAGGAGGAGGGAGAGTATACTAAATAAAATACTAAATTATTGAAGTGGTTAAGCATCTGAGAGTCATTTTGTTTAACATTTTCTAACAGGTATTAAAAAAAAACGCTCTTAAATAGTTAATTTAGAATTTTAAGTGTCACAAATTCATGACCTGTAAAATGTTAGTTTCACAGACATTTTCCCAAGAAAGGTGAAAGGAAATATAGTTTTTAAAATATTTGCAAATTTATGACCCAGGTAAGAACAACACCTATCTAAAATCATAGAATATTGATAAATTATAAATTGGAAATTTTGTGATCAATGATAACACAAAAACTTACCTACTGCCATATCACTATAAAGAAATAATGCATATTTTTGTGTATGAACTAAAAACAAAAAAAACAAAAATTAATAATCATACACAAAAAACTCATATTCTCTTTGAAATAAACATTTAATATTAATTTAGATCATAATATTTTAGTTTTTTAACTGGATGAGTAAAATCAATAGAACAACAATGATACTATTGTTTAAAAATATATTACATTTTCATGAAGCTTTTCAAAAATATACCTATACAATAACTAAGTATACAAAATTATGTCTATTGTAATTAAAGTACTTACGTTGTAATTTGTCATAATCTAAATAAATGACAATAATATACAATTTATTAAAAAAAAAATTACTTTAACAACTTTCTGTTGTATTTTGTTTTGAGTATAAGTTTTATAACAAAATCAATACGGACGCTATTTAATCTTTAATTATAATAATAATAAAGAGAACAGATTTTTTGGTGTTTTTGTAATAGGTAAGCTCGAAAACTGCTTAAACAATTTTAAAACTTTTTTCACTATAAAAAGCTACATTAATAGTGAGTAACATGATATGCTGTATTTTATTTTGAAAAAAATTGGAGATTCCTACGGAAATTTCAATAGTTAGGTTTTTAGGTATTTTTGGTATAAATATCTAATTGTTTATTTATTTATTTTTGTTTATTCATGAGGTAGCTTGGTGACACGGATGGCAATTTGGTTGTCACTAACAAGAAAATTATTATTGTTATTATTATTTACACTATTATCTAGCAATAGCAATGCATTGCTGGGTGGTGAGCTAATATTAAATAAAATAATAAAATACAATTTTGGTTTTTGTTTTTTTTTTTTTTTTTTATTGTTGTACTTAATTACTTTAATTTAAAGTTATTAAAATGAATAAATAAATTGAACATTAATACTTAATTCATATTTTTAGTGCGTTTGTTTTTTTTTATTAAAATTAAGTACTTATAATAGAATTTTACTTTTTTTGTATAGATATTTATTTGTATTAATTTTTTATAGCAAATTGATCATGTTATTATAGTGCGTCATTATAAGTTAATAGGAAACATCAAAAAAGCAGCACTATATATTTGAATAAAAGAACTGTACGTAAGAAACCAGAGAGCAGAAGTAAAAGAAATAATATGAATTTGTATGGTTTTACGGTTGAAAATATAATTTTTGTTCAAGTATTATAAACTCATTGTAGATCGTGAGGTTTCGGACGTAGGTTGAGTTGCCACTGATCGATTACCGTCGAGTGGTGACTACACTGATCGTAACATGTTAGATTCTTAGAAACAATATTTGATTTAAAACATCTTTAATAGATTTAACAACTTAATGCTTAATTTTCTAATAAAGTACACTGACCTTTATTGGTGTTAAATAATTTTTGGGCACAATCGTCAGCATCTGAACAATCTATTTCACATAATTAATTATATATTTAGCTAATAATACCAATGCAATAAAATATTCGTTACATTAATGGTTGAACAAAAAACACTGGGCTGATATTATTATACCAGTTTCATCTATTAGTGAATATAATAATAATCACAACAAAAATACTTTGCTAGCTACGTGTAAAAAAACCATTTAATATAGTTATCAGTTAAGACGTAAATATCTCGTAAATGTTCATTATCATAAAATAGTGTTATCATTTTTGGTGATAAGTAAAATTTTTGATTTACTTATTGAATACATAATGCATATAATAGATAGAACAAAACACAATTTTGCTAAACAGTTGTTCTAACAGTATGTAAGGTAATTTGAAGTATTTAAAGTTGTTTTATATTTATGTGAACACTATTATACATATACATTATAATTGCAGAATAATAGTTAAGTAAATGTATAAATATGTACTCGCCAAGTAAATCGAATATTTTATTTAGCATCACAAATTATATCACAACTTTATGGTGCTGACACAAACGAGATACGTAATAACTGGTAACTGTATTAAACGATTTTTTGATTTATTTTTTTTTATATTTCTTTATAGTGATTTTTTTTTCTAATTGAAATGAATTACATTATATTATATACACATTAGGTACATTAAACACTGTGGTACCTAAATAATATTTATTAAAACGGGTGGCATAATATGAGTAGTTTAAGAAATTTAACAGAATAAACAAAGTTGAGTGAAGGCTATATAGGAAAGTAGACCAATATTTACTAAATTAACGCACCGATGACGAGACACAAGTAAGAGTATATAAAAACAAGCCAATCGATGCAATAACACAACTTAACATTGTTAAGGTTATTAATTTATCTATTAAGAAAATAAAGTTCTAAGGTCAGATATAAAAAAGTATCTGATTTATATTTGTAAGTAATGATAAACTATTGATAACAAAAAATAGTTCTGAACGGTTTGGTTATACATGATTTGAAATGTCGTAATTATTATTGGTTCAACAAAACTAGATCTTAATATTATTAAAATAAGAGAAAAGATGGACATATTTCCACAATGGGTGGGCTACTTCTGTAGTTGAGAAGTTGGAAAGGTAGGATTTAGAGGGGAATTTAATGTACATCTGTACGCAATAAAAAAACATTGATAGCAAACAACAATTCTAAGTAGAGTTTGGTTATATATGTTTTAAAAAGCTGTAATATTTACGATAATCATCAATATTTGATAATTTGGTGTTAAAATTCTTATAAAAAAAAAAATATATACGAGTGTTTCAGATGAACCGTTTATGAGTTATAACAGTTTAAAGTTTCAATCGGAGAAGTACAGAAGGAAATAAATCTCTAACCCTTCCTTACTTCTCTGATTAAAATTGTTATAACTCATTAACGATAAATCTGATATTTGTGTTATACACATCAAAATTTCTAGACAAATATTCTCTTTTCAAGTTTGTGATCTAAAGGGAGAGTTTCATATTTTAAAATCAAAATAATGGAATTATTTAAAGTATATCAAGTAGGATTAAAAAATTAAAAAATAGTTTTAAAATAAAGCTTAAGAAGATGTGATTTCAGAGTAAAAATGTAGTTGTCGAGTAACAGAATCACTTTGTTAATTATTATGAAGGATCGAAAATTTTTTTTTTTTTAATAAGGAGAACTTTAGATATGATGTAGTTTTTTTTATTTTTTAGATAGTACAAACATTTTTAAAAATATTAATTTTTAAAGTTTGTAAATATTCCAAGCCTCCTGTTTATAAATATAAAATTTTTGAGATAAATTATTGGAAAATGTAAAACGCTACGTTACAGATGATTTTTTTCTTATTAAAACAAAAAAAAAAAAATTATCATAATTATTAAAAGAATAGTTTTGTTATGCGTAAAACTGTTTTTCTATGTAAAATTGTTGATAAATAATTTTATCGGAACGGTTGAGATGCTGTGTGCTACGCCATCTTTCGTGCGTTGTACACCAACAGCATTGGGTGCATCACGTCCTCTTAAACGTTTCTATAACGATTAGAAAAAAAAAGAAATGAAATTCACTTAAAATTTTGTGAGATAACTACTGGTTCATAATAAGAAAAATCACTGTGTATAATAGCTGATATAAATAGATTAAACATAAACGTAATGGGTATAAGTGAGATAAGATCACCAGTTAATAGACAATGTAATATAGAAAGTCATTGAGTATATTATGCTGGCAATAAGGAATATTATCTTATATACGGAGTAGGATTTATATTTTTATGTGAACGCAAAAACATGTTACAAATTTTGTACCAATATCAGAAAGAATAGCTGTTATTCAACTAAGCGAAAATCCAGTAAATATAAATCTGGTTCAAATATATGTCCCTACTTTTGATGCAGATGATGATAAGATAAAACAATTTTATCAAACAATATCAAATATTATAAAAATAAATTAGGAAACATGCAATGATTATCATTGCGATCTCATTGAAGATCATGGTATGGGTGTTAGGAATGAATGTGGAGACAGAATGAAGATTTCCGTAGAGAAAAAAGACCTAGTTGTCCTAAACACCACTTTAAAATAACCGTCAAGAAGCTTATATAAAAGGAAATCATCAAAAGATCAACCGAGTGACATAGTTCGGAATCAGATTGATTACATGTTTATTAAAAATCGGTTTAGAAATATATTTCTATGAGTCAAAATATATTCTGTTGCTGATATTAAATTTAATCAGAATTCATTAGTTTGTAGTTTAAGAATAAGATTAAAAAATTGTGTTAAAAAACAGTAAAAGAAGAAACTGGATATGAAAAAGTTAAATGAAAATAAAACACGTGAACAAATTTCAAAAAATACTGAGAACGTTTACAGAGTTTTAGAAAAGGAAAACAATAATGTAGAGTAATGTTATTTTCTGAAGTATGGAGATACTTCAGAAAATGACAAAGATTTTGATGACATTAACAAAGACAACTTAGAAATAAGTAATAATAAAGGAAAGAAATGAATGACAGAGAATATTCTGCAAATGATGGAAGAAAGAACATTGAAGAATGATCTAGACATAAATAATGTTATCTATAAAATAAAAAAAAGGGAAATACATTTTGCGAAGGAAAAATAAATGAAAAATCAATGTATATAATTATAAATTTGAAAAAATATAGGTAAAATAAGTAGGTGGGGTGTATAGGGGAGATTGCGTGATGAAAACGACAAAACTATCGTAGACCAAAAAGAGAAAATGAATATTTGGAGAGATAAGATTGAACAACTCTATGAAGATACAAGTAGACCAGGAAGGTTACCAGAGTTTCGGTCAGATAAACAACTTAACGACAATGATTTAAGAAGTAGAAAGAGCAATGTCCAAAATTAAATAGGAAAATTTCCCGGGTCCTGATAATATAAATGGTGAATTTTTAAAATTAATAGATGTGAAAGGTATATCATGGGTCACTAAATTATTCAATAGAATTTAATATGCTTCTGGTGAAATACCTCAAATATGGTTAAAAACTACATGTGTAATATTGCCAAAAAAGCCAAGTGCTCATAACATTTATTATGACAATCTTCGTACTATAAGTCTTATGAGCCACTTAATAAAACTATTTTTTTAAAATTCTCATCAGAGGATCTTTAGAACATTCGAAGAACAGATGAGCGGCATACAATTTGGTTTCAGAAATGCTATGGGTACAAGACAGGCTATTTTGCCTATGAGTATTATTTCAAAGAGCTAGGAAAGATATGTTAATCAGAATAAATAATAAATGTTTTTTATTGATTACCGAAGGACGTTTGATAAAGTAAAACATGATAAAGTAATAGACATCCTAAATATAGTAGGAGTTGATAAAGACGATTTGAGAATAATAAATAATCTGTATTAGAATCAAACAGCAGCCATACGTATTGATGGAGAACTCTCTGAGAGTGTATCCATTAAGCATGTAGTAAAGCAGGGCTGTGTTTGACATCACTGTATTCAATATATACACGGAGTTTATCTTCTGTTAAGCTGAATTCCGAGTTAAAGATGGCATTAAAGTAACTGATGGATAATGTCTTAATATCATCATGTAGGCTGTTGATACAGTGATTTTTAAAAATAACATTGATGCATTATAATACAAAGTGGACAGAGTATTAGAGATCAGTAAGAAATATAGTTTGACTTTAAATATAAAGAAAACAAAGTTTATGATAGCACCAAAGAATTATAACTTAGGAAAACATTTGATAATTATAAATCAACATATAGAACAAGTAAACAATTTAGTTATTTCGGAGTGATAATAAATTATGATTGGAATTTTGCATTAGAAATAAAATGTAAAATTTGATAGAACTAGGGGCAATTTTTGTAAAATGTCGGAAGTATTCAAGTGTTACGATCTATCTTTTGGTACAAAAATTGGACTCTTAAGGCGTTATGTATTCTCTATATTACTATATGGAGTAGAAACCTGGATACTAACAGAGTAAACCTTTAGGAAAATTGAAGCTTTTGAGATGGGGTTATATAGATGAATGCTGAACATTTTATGGACTAATTGTTTTACATTTCAAAGTGTACTGGAAAGGATGGAAAAAAAGAAAGAACTTTTAACACCAATAGAAGATAAAAAGCTAGAATACGTGGGACATATCATGAGGAATAATCAGGGATACAAAATACTCCAGCTTATATAACTAGAAAAAAATCGAAGAAAAAAGAATATTTTGGCTGAAGAATGTCCGTGACAATAAAAAAATCAATTGATTTATTTCGATTTCTTTGATAAGGACAATATTGTCAATATGACAGGTATTTTTATACTTATGTAAATACCATTATACGAATACTTATATTTTATAATTGCAAAATAATAGGTAAGTAATTTGTATTACTATGCACTCGTTAAGTGAACCGAAAATTATATTTAACATCACAAATTATGTCACAACTTTGTGATGCTGGACATAAACGAGATACTTAATAACTAGAATCTATATTAAACTTGTTCACTTTGTTTTACAGTGATTTTTTTTCTAATTGAATTAAATTACAATATATTACATACATATTTGGTACACTAAATATTGTGGTACATAATATTTGTTAAAACGAGTCACATAATATAAAATTAGTTCAAATTTCAAACATGCACGACCAAGAATAGAGGCGATCTTCCGATTCAAATATATCCATAAATAGAAAAATCAAAAAATTTATTTCACCATGAGCAACTAGATTCAAAATTTCAGAAAAAATGTCTATTCTCATATTTTGAATAATACTAGATTTATAGTAGAAACATAAGTACAAACATTTCAATAATCTTGAAATAGTTATTTTTTAAATACCTATCCATTTATTTCGAAGTTTTTCCCGATTTATACTAATAATTTTGAAATAAATTTGGGAAATCAAAAGACGACCTCTTTCATGAACTAACTATATTAAATTTCTTTTCAGAAAAAGTGTTACACTTTATATATTGGAGGATGATTTGTGATAAACAATTGTGTACAACTTACTATCTAAATCATTCTTAATGTTGCCTGTTAAATAAACAATTATCATCAGCCATTTTTATAATTCTGTTTAAATATTCTCGTCATTGATTATAATAAATAATTGGGTAATTTAATTATTATTGTGTATAACAAAAATATTTTTACAAACTATTTTTAATATTATTAATTAATAATTATATTATATTATTGTAAATATTATAATTTTGATGAAATGAACCTGTTTGGAAAATGAACACATTTTCAAAAAAAAAAATTGGCTTACCAGAAAATATAATTTACCTTATTTGCTTATTGTAAGATCATAATAATTTTAGACTATTACATATAAATAAATCTACCTCTACTTTGCCTTCATCACATCTATTCAATTATTTTGGACTGACCACCGTCGTCCTAAACTTCCACTTCACTCGATCTTCCTGGCGTGACCCGTTTCACCAAAACTCGACTTTTAACATCCCGCCCAAATACACTAAAGTTATTTCAAAATTAAGTTGGTTACCGTTTTTGAATAATAGTTGAAACTCATAGAAAATTATTTTACATTGTATACCTATCATAAAAAATTATTTATTATTTTATAAAAATTTGTCACTTCTTGTCTGTACAAAAATGCTATACTAAATACATTTAAAAATTTCTTATTAAATTATACATAATTAGTTACAGTACAAATCATTATAAATAATTGTTTATTAAAAATTATCACAAAATACAAAACATTATTTTTTAAAATGTCTAAACATTTATACAAACTTATACCTAGTCATTTCACTAGTTCTTTATAGGCACAGATCCTGAGCAAAGATCTGAGGGGGGCAAACATATTTTTACAACACATATCCAATTACAATGTCTCAATAGTTCTAATTATAGTTCCATAATAGTTTTAATCAACTACAATATATTTGTGATTTTACAGGACCAACTTTGGTGGCGACGTGGCGCACTATTGTGGTGTCAACAATTAACACATAATTATAAAATTACAATATTGGAATCACAGTCCATAGATGTATATTATATTATTACACATATCTGTAACTGAAATATAGTAATCAGGATCTAAAGAATTATACTAATTTGATTGGAATGATAATATGTCTGGGGGCCTGTGATTCTAAGCCCCCTTGGATCAGTCCATGGTTCTATATAAAAGTATACGCTATTCATGATATTCCTGTCTTTCACTTATTTTTGTTTTCTTTTCTTTTATTAGAAATTTTAACGCTACAAATTTGGATGAAATAATAATTTGTGATATTCATTTTTAAATACATATTTATGTATTTCAAATAGTGTTCAAAAAATATAGTTAACTTAATTTTAGAATAACTAAAATATGTTTGGATGAAACAGGAGCGGTCAATTCTGGCTAAAAGTTAAAACTCTAAACCTCGGATATTACGTCCTATTGTCGTTAGTTTTTTTGTCCTGTTCCTTTAAATTCACGCTCTATATTATTTGTTTTACTTCTACTTATTGTTAGGTTCTTTCTTTCAAATGCTACTCTTAATTCTTCAGGTCTATTGATAACTTGTTCCAGATTTTCGTCTATCAAAATTAGCAAAATATTTTGTATCATGATACCTACTCTCACCTACGAATATTACACCAGTTGTCAACTTGACGAAACATTATTTGTTGCCTCTTACGACTGATAGAAATACCGTGAGAATATTCTAAATCCCTCTTATAGTAAGATTTTATAAAAATAAAATAAAATAACTCACTCAAACATATATCTAAAAAAAAATATATGTATACATAAATATATATTTATAGCATTTTTAAGTTATAATTAACAAAACAATTAAAACAATTTACATCGTGACTAAATTAATTTCAGTATTTGTAGCTTACAGGACACTGATTCACTGTAATATAAATGTTGACACCTTTATTAAAATGACTATTTTTCGAAGATATTTTTTAAACATTTAATTTATTGTTAAGTAAATGGTATATTTCAAAAAAAGTAGCTATGGTTATTTACTATGTCGATTTTTATTTTACAGTAAATAAGAGTGTCCATATCATGACTGCAACGGAATGGTAAATCTACGTTCTATATCATAAGAATAATTCATATTTAATAAGGAATAATGAAATAAAAGTATTATAATCTAAACCAGTTACTTAAATTTATTATCATTGATTCTCACCGTTAACATCTTTGACATCTGTAAATATACAAGAAATATAACATCTTATAATCTAATATAAAAAATATATACATAATACGTATATTATTAATATGTTATGAAAATGATATTAACATTAACTAGATATTTAAAAATTGAACGAAGATTTTATTTTTAATAATTGCACGAACCTCAAAAGGTTCAAAAACTCTATAATTTATTGATAATATAATTGATATTAAGAGCTAGAGTAGTTTGTGACTGATATTTTGTCATTATAATAATATTTTATGTTGATAGTTAATACGACCGATCGTCTCGTACGTTCGTTACGTTTATAATAATAGACTAACAATATATTTTGAGAACAACTTTAGACAATTATTGTTTGTACCTATTATTTCGATTTTTAAACTATAATTTCCCAATAAAAACAAAATAATATTAATTACAAATGTCAAAGCTCACTAAACTAAACACAATACAAGTATATAATCATGAAAATCATACCGAATTGGCGATAATAATAATACTGTAATACTAGGAAACAAAATTATAACTACAAAATTACGTGTTTCAAATTTTCTGACACTGGCCTTTATCAGTATGGTTATATATGAACTATTCGAATGCAACCTGAAACTGTTATTCAGGGCCGGAGTTAGCCTAAGTATAACCCTAGGCACATAGTTTTGAATAATCCATTATAAACAATAAGTCATCTAATAAAATTGTTGTATAGTAACCAACAACTGGAAATTTAGCAATGGAATCAAGGTGTCCAGCAATTTAAAACAGAAGTACTACTTGTATTCACGGTGCAATAAGAAATTAAGCCGATAGATTATCTTTCTGGATAACGGCATGAAGGTATGCAACTAAACTTTTTATTTTTATTTGCTATGTCGCCCAACAAGGTAGCACTTTGTATTATCGTCCGAACAATGTATGGCCTCTTTATATTGACAAGGAGGCATTTAGAACATTCAAGAATATTCTTGCAGCGATGGCGTCACACCAAACGTTCCGCAATGTAACTACCTTAATCTACGTTAAGCTGGAGGTCATGATAGAATTGAACAAACTCACTAATATGCACGCACAATGGCGCAATTTGGATCAGGTTGACCTGCCGAATCCAACGCACGGATTCGGCAAGTCAACTTGGACCGAGGAGATTCAAAATGTCTAATGTCTATTTTTTTATTCAATATTTAAAATTTGTTGTTTGTTTAATAACTAATACAGTTTTGTTATACGATTCCTTAATTATTATTCCTTTATTATTATTATATTCCTTAATATATTTTATTTTTTTAAACTAAAAATAATAAATTTAAATTTTTAAAATAATTATTTTTAATAGCCATTTAATAAATATATTTTGAAATTAAATTCTTGAATTGCAATTATTTACTAATGGTGAGTCGTTAGATTTAAAAAAAAATGTTGAAGTTAACAAATATTTTTATCATTAAGAAAAATTAATTTTCATGTAAAATGCGAATTGATTACAATTTTGAGTTTTAAATTAATTTAAATTGTTTTTGTTACTTCTCAGTAATATAAAAGGATTTCCTAATTTTTTAATGATTTTTGTATTCTTCGAAAAATTACCTACACAAAGACACACATCATATTAAAACCAATAAATACCTCGCTACGCTCTGAACATAAAAAAATATCGTAAATTGAATTTTACACTGTCTTCAAGCGTATTATTTATATAATATTAAAACACAATAAAGTACTGAGAAATAGATAAAAAATATTCTTGTACTTACCGCAATACACTTCTTCAATCGTGATAATATATAATATTATAAAAGTAATATAAATCATATTGGTTTTCGAATGAATAGCACAAACCATTTTCACTCCAATAAATCTCTCGTGGATTTAAAATATTATAATAACTGCGACAGTCTGTATGCTAAAACAAAACCAACAATCGAAAGACAAATTATACCTTATTTTTTAAAAGACCGATAAAACGTATGCGTAATAAATCGTGTACGAACAATTATTCGTTACTTATGCTTGTCTAATCATTAATGCATTTTCAAACGGCGTACGGCTATTTATACGAAAAATGAAAATTATAAATCATTTATATACGGACGTGTTTGTATTGTATGGTTTATATACTTACGTGTTCATATTGTACATACGTGTTCGTATATAATTAGTATACATATATACGTGTGCGTATAAGATTCGTGTTCCTATTATTGTACGTAAATTTGACAGTTTTGAAAATAATAAAATGTTAGTATTTTATTGGCGTAGTTAATACCATTGTAAATTTAACAGAAGGTTCATAAAGGGTTGTATTTTGTGGTCAAAAAATAAAAAATTTAGTGCAATGTAGAATGTTTTTTTAATAAGAATTTTATATCAAATTTTGACGAAAATCGTAAATAAAAGGCCGTACCTTTTTAAATCATGTATAATTGACCTCCACAACGAATCTATTTTCGTTAACACTATTTAATCGTTGCATACAGATATACATTAAATTATCCTCTTTATCCTACCTTCCCAACTTCATACCTACAACAGTGGTCTGAGAATGAAATTTAGTTTGACAAAAATAGAATATTAAAAATGTTTTTTATGCGTTTCAGATGCATCGGGACGCAATAAAAAATGTATATATTCTTATAGCTAAGAACTTTCTCTACAAAATGCATACATTGAGTATAGAGTAAACTTGAGTACATTTTTACTGCAGTCTCGGTTGTACTCAATCAGCAGTCAAAACAATTAAAAACTTCTTTAAAAATTGTTTGACAGCACAACCTCTATTAAGTAAATAAAAATCATTTAATCGATGATTTTATAATAGTGAGAACTGATCCTAAGGACTAGTGTCGTAACTGTTGCAGGTGGGCAGTTGGGAAAGTGGGATACATAAAGTTATTTAATTTATACTTGAAATCAACGGTAAACTATTTAAACTATTGCTAACGAAAAACGATTCAGCATTACAATCAATTATGTTTTGAACACTAAGTATGACTTCTTGTCAAATTTGCAAGTATTTTTGTTTTAAAAAAAATACGTAAAATCTCGCAAAATTAAAATACATATAAATAGCTCATAAATGGCTCAAATATTTTTAAAACTCTATGATATCTAGAAAAAGCAAATATAAGCCTTCTGTTAAAATTACATAAAAAAAAAAATTTTAAATAAAATAATCACGCAGATCTATAACCGAACGTCCTTTGTTTATTGAAGTACCTTCTCCCCGATGTTTACCTAAAAATGAAATATTAAGTATAAAATAATATTTTGAAAACAATAATTTGTGAATGGTTCATATGTTGATAACATTTATCACTTAAAATTAATGTGTTCAATATTAAATATTAAAAAAGAAGAAATTATTATATTTGTTACGGATACACGGTGTATAAAAGAACTGTTTTTATTCCCACTATTGATTATTATATAATAGCTAGAATATATAGTACTCAAAATTTGCTTTGCTCAAATGATGGTAAAATGCACGTACAGTGCATTAACGTACAGTGCAGTAACATAATGTTTCTAAACAATAAACAATAATTTATACAATTCAAGAATACAACTTATAAGATTAGTATTTTACGTTAATTGCGCGCTAACGACTTGATTAACGTTAACTAATAAAAAAAAAAAGAATCAAATCTCGATGGTAACACATAGTGATAGTCACTAATGAATAGGTACTATTGAACTATTTAATAATTGATCCAAAATATTTGATAGTCCTAAAATAATTCGGTATTGAAAAAATTATTTAAGATACAAAATATATTTGGTTATTAGTAATATATTCACGGATATACCTACAGAAGACGAAACGAACGTCCTAACAATTAATAATTCACGCACCTTTTTTGGATTCTGAGAGGAGCGAAGAGGCTTATGGTTTTACATAGATGTTTATTTATTTATCTCTAAATTTTCTACTAGAAAACTTGCTAAATTTTTAACTTAAGCACTTTTTTTGTAAAAAAAATCGGTGTGGAGAGGTACTTTAAGGAATTAATTTAAGTAATTCAAATTGCTTGTTAAGAAGTTGTTCACAAGAAAAAAAGGCCGTAATATATTTTAACTAATACCTAAATTTCTTATATTTTCGAAATATATTACTAAAATATTACCATTTTTTTTCCTGTGAATTACTCTTCAACCAGCAATTATGCTCCAATTTATAATTATAGCAATGTTTCTAAAAGAAAATTTGACTGGGAAGGTACTTTAAGGAGGTAATTTTTAGATTTTCTCAAGAGTTTTCCCAGCAAATGTGAAAAACCGGGATAAAACATGGGAAAACCGGGAAAAACTGGGACAATCGGTTCAACATTAAATAAATATTATTAAAGAAAATATATAAACCCCATTTAATTATTTTACTATAATAAGACTATAATAGCATCACTATCAGAATCGTTTTTTCGTAAGCAATGGTTTATTGTTGCTTATAGGTATACATTAAATTATCTATAACAGTGGCTGCACTTGTCCCCATTATCCTAGAGTGTCTTTTTATTGTTAATAAGTTATGTGTTTGATTTATCGGTCACCATACTAAATGAATGTGAACGAATGATGCGAACATGTCCATCCAAAAGACAAATGGATGTAAATTAATGTAATTGAAAATTTATTGTTCTTAACAAAGTAGTAAAATTATATAATTAAATTAATGAGTACACCTTATACAAATATTTGTATTTGAATAACCTGGCAGCGACCTATAGGAACCCATGACGCCACGCGTCAATTTTAAAACAGCAATATGACGCAAAAGAATGTGTTCACCCAATTCACTATTTGTCGTAGTTTAAATAATATTAGAAATAAAGAAATAAACAAAGGTAACTTATGTGGTAACCTTTATTATTATTATTAAAGGTAACCTATTATTTGTAGGCACTTATGTGCCTACAAATATATAATACGTGTGGCCTCGTAGATGTTACACGCTTAATATCGTACACGAATTCGAGTCCTCTACAAATTTTAAAACCACTAAATATTCACCATTTTAAAATGCTTAGTATCCAATTAGAAACATATAAGCGTGAAAAATTAATAAAAAAAAAAAAAATCTACCAGAATTATATTGCTTCGTTTTTCAAATAAGTACTAATTTGTGTGAATACATTTTTTTAACCCCATAAAAATGCTTAGAAATTATTATAAAATAAAGTAAAGAAATTTAAAAAAAAAATCGATTTTAATTTATTTGTAGTTCTAAATGTATACAATTTTCAATATTTAAGTTAACAAATATATAAATAATCGAACTTTTCTCAAAGTAATTTTTCGTTATCAATTTACCGTTGCATACAAATTTAATTAAATAAATATAATAATAATAATCAGGAGCAGCCATTGGGAATTTGGGAGTTTTCTTAATGGGCGCTTCTTCAAATAAACTATTTTAAATAAAAACAAAAACAAGCCGTCCTAAGACAATGAGGACAGTTGTAGCCACTGTTATAAATAATTTAATATATACCTGTAAGGAACGATAAACCATTTTGGTTACAAAAAAACTATTCTGAGCGAAGTTCAGTTGACAGTGATGCTTTGTCAACAATATATATGTCATATTATAGTAAAATAATTAAAAAGGGTTTATATATTTTCTTTAATAATATTTGTTTAATTTTATACCGATTTTCCCAGTCTTCCAACGGTTTTCCCGGTTTCCCAAGTTTTATTCCGATTTTTGACATTTGCTGGGAATACTCCTGAAAAAAACGAAAAATGACCTCTCTAAACTATCTCTCTAGTGAAATTTCCATTTAGATATATTGCTGTCATTTGGAAGTTGAAGCAAAAATGCCGTTAGAAAAGTTGTCCACAGAAAAAAAAATCGTAATATTATACAAATATATTTCGTATATTTCCTAGTTTTTTTTTTTGGTTTTTTAAATTTGATAAGAAAACTCTTGAGAAAATCGTAAAATGAACTTCATGACTTCCAAGTACCTCCCAACGCCGATTCGCTTTTAGAAAAGTTGCTACACTTAGAAATCTGATTAAGTCTTCTCGTAGAAAAGTTGCGCACAGATAAAAAAGAAAAATTACAAAAAAAATAATAAACATCTTTATCTATTGTATATTCATTGAACTCTATATGATAAAGTCAACCTAACCAGGGTATGTCTATATCTAGGACAATTGAACAACACGCCTTATCATTTAGTTTTTATCATAAAACGTTATCAAATTTAATTTTCTTTATTTTTTGTACAATCATATTATGATATAGCCAGATAAAACATAATTAATAATTTGTTTCATTGAAAACATTTTTCCACATTCAGTTTTATTTTTTATTTTTCTTATACATTTTTGTAAGTCTAATAATATTGATGAACGCTTCAAAGGTAATAAGGTTAAGCCGTTTACTTTATTCACCATACAATTAATAAAAAATAAAATCTACCGGTCAACTTTTGTTTAACAGAGCTAAATTTTCCTAAAATGTTCCTGCGATTTTAGATTTTCTAACCAAGCTTGAGTATATTCATTTTTTCTACTTCTTTGAATTCTACATCATTGGTAGTGTGCGCTGTTTTTCTCCAGAGGATTATTAGTTCCCATGATACTCTTCAAAGTTTAAATTACATACGTTCTGCTAGAAATATTTAATACGAAGGCCCAGTGTTTCCCAAATTTGTATATAATGTTGCCTATTTAACTCCTGTAATTATACTGCTACTAGTTTAGTAAGTCGCCTCTCCAACACAAAACTATTTTTTTTTTAAAATTCTATTGCCATCGTTCAATTTTGTATCTATGTTGCCTACTAAGCTCCTGAAATGGTCCAACATGTCTGTTTATTGCTTATCTAACTTCTGAAATTCATTTGTTGATGTTTAAAAAATTATTTCTATACCAACCTACCAAAGAATATTTTTATTTTAAATATTGCCAATGATGTTTTTAATTATTATTTGATATTTTGAAATTAAATATTTTATATTAATTAATTACAAAAATTAATTAATATTATTTTTGAACCAATAGGTATCTATTTCTATGGTTGTATTGGTCAAACAGATATCATGATTATTTTGTATTATTTCTTAAACCTATCATAACCTATATATTTGTGAATCTATAAGTATAGAATATTTTGTATAATAACCCCTAAACATTATTTAATTATTCTCTTTTTTCTTTCACTATGGAACAATAACTGTTATTGAATTGTTTAATGATTACCCATTCCTTAAATTATTTAGTAATTCAGCAAAATAATTATGAACAGTTAGTGATCATTTTTATTAATTACCTGATATATTTAGTATTAAAAAAAAAAAAAAACCCTTCCTTCCAAAACTTCAGTAATAATGGTGTGCGGCAAGGAATCGGTGCCAACGAGATGGCAGTAGCAAGATGTGGGATGTACTAAATCTACAAAATGTGCAGCTAACGAAATAACTTGCGCTTAATGATGATAAGGAATTCGTTGATTTTAAAATAAATAATATTATTAAATTATTTGTAATCGTCACGTTTATTATAATCGTTTTCATTGTTATAAAATGTTTTTCATTGAGTAACTGCAGTTAAAAAGTTGCAATGGCACTGAAAAATTATTTCATATTCCCATCCTCAAGAAAATCTTTTGATGCCTCTGGTACGCGTGAACATGTAGTCCTATTGCAAATAGCATACACAAGTGTAAGTTACAAGTACTAATGACAAGTACAACGCATTGTATTGACCAGGCATAATAAGTGACCGATAACCGAGAATACAAATCGGCATAAATTAATAATAAGCGGTTTTAAGTTCCCAAAAGTAAATCACCGGTTTCTAGCCTTGCTTAAAGTACTATTCAAACCTTCTTAATTTTATTACTTAATACTTACACAGTGCTAAAATCCTCAGCTACGGTAAATTTATTTACAGGGCTCAAAAAACCATCTCTAGGCAACTTATATCGTAACATTGATCCCACTTTGTTACAATCCCTCAACTAAATGTCGTGTAAATAAAAGTGTAATTTTGAAGAGAAATCAAATCTAATTTTTAAATTAATTAACAAGAATAGTTTAAAATATATTTGACTAGTTTTGGCTGTTGGAAGTATACTATCTACAATTTACATAAATAGCCTGCATTGATGTAACTCGTACAAACTATTATTAAAGTAGTGATAATTGTGATTGAGCATAAAGAGAGAACGAAAATTTTACTTTGATATTACTATATTTAATACAATTTATAAATATTTGTATTGAATTTAAGCATAACTATCAAACATATTAGAATATACATATAATATCGAATTTATTTTTTTTTGTCAATATAATATTGTGAAATATATTCACAACCGTAAATACACTTTTATGTGCTTACGATAAATATGACTATTTTTAATAGTAATATTATAATCTACTAACAGAAAAATATGCAGATTAATATTTAACATACAATATAAATGCAATATAAATTTGTTTTGTCAGATTTCATCAGGATTCTAATCCGGGAGTAGGGATGAAATTGGTTTGATATTATTCATTTCCTCCCTTTTGCAAAATTCTTTTGGATGTGACTCCGTGACATTATTCTCTACAAATAAGAATAAAAGATTACATGAATATTTAATTACATTATAATTGTATGCGTTAATGTAATAGTATATTAGACCGTTACTAATAATGAATATACATATAAAATTAGAGTGTAAATTAAATACCTACTTAGAGTTCCGAAAACCCCTTGAAAAATATTCACTATGCCACGTGATTCCTATAGGAAAAATTGGACGGAAGCCACAGGTTTTTTTTTTATTGAGGGCAGTAAACACCTATATAATATTACTTATCATAAAGGCCAAATTTTTTTAGAGGCAGAATTCTGCAGGTTAAATGTTCTTCATTTGGATATCCGAACTGTCAGTCATGTTACCATTGTCGTGTTTGAGTGAGAAAAACAATGGTTGTCTAAAATTATTATAATTATTAATTCATGTAAAAGTACCATCAAAATCCACAAAAGTCATCAGATGCTCAACATAATCATATGCGTCACCTATAAAATATAATCAAATATTTATACTTATTTACTATAGCAAATACTATTTAATAATGACGTTCATAAGCAATAAATACTTAAATCGACATTTTTTCATTTAAATAAAATAGTATTAATCATTTGGGCAGAAATAGGCTCGATGGAAATGTAGAGTGCATAATGCCATAATAATATCGCGGAAAATTATTATATTTAAAACTTTATAAAGTTTTTTGATTAAAAAATAGAAATACATAATTTTGCTTTTTCCTTTTTACTTCTTTGTGTTAAAATAAAAATACTAATCTACCCATTAAAATGTAAGAGTTATTAAACAAACTATACTTACTTGTCCTATCGATGTAATCAAGTGCTAAAATATTATTATTATTATTATTATTATTATTATTATTATTATTATTATTATTATTATTATACTGGTTAGACGTGCAAAAATTAGTAAACTATTAAGTAGATTTCAATTTTCAATGCTTTATTTAAACACTATATATAATAATATAATATATTATATTACTTCTGAACTTGTAACTAACGACGCAAGTGTAGACTTCATTGTTTTTTAGAAAAACTGTATTATGTTACAGTACTTGTAAAACCGTGATAAAAATCGATAATTTAAAAAACGTTGCAACTGCTCTCAAGTAGTATTTGTCTAAAAAAAGTTAACGCGTCAATTTGTCCGATCATATTTTATTTTTAAACTTTATTCAGAAAATAATCGCCTTTGCACACGACAACAGAGTTTTTAGCGCTGCCATACGGTGGATGGTGGAGGATTCGTTAATTATTCGGGAATTATCGTTCACGATCGGAAGTTATACTTCTCCACGTGGTTTTTATGAACTCGTATCTAGTAATTTCACCTAATCTACAGAAGTAGCCACAAGTCGCTCAACGTCTACTGTCTTGTATGGAATGCGCGTTATGGCGCAGTTTCTCCCTCCTCGTCGTTTCCGTTACGTCATATTGCAACTTTGGTCTCGTTATCCTGTTTACGTACAACAACAGCAAGGTTTATAAAAAAACAACATATTTAACATAAAACACAACAGTTTTATAAAAATTGTGTAGCAAATTTGTTTCGCGGCTTTTGGNATTTTTTTGTCTTTTGTTTTTATTTGGGGAATTTCAATGTTATTCATTTTGATGTACGTTAGAGGACTACAAATATTTCGGAACTGTATTTTGTCGAAAAGATTTTTTTCGGAAAAATATTTAGTCGGATAATATTTTATCGGAAACTTATTTTGTCGGAAAATAATTTTTACCTAACGACGATAACATGCAAACACGAAATGCTTATGATGAAATTACATTGAACGGTTCCGAAAAAATATTTTCCGAAAAATCATTTTCCAAGAAAATATAGCCCTCCGTTTGAGACATTTGCAGAATTTTTCCGAATTTCGAAAATCTTTGTAACGGTACAGTTCTGCCGTTACCGTGCATAACATAATTCATAATATACAGCGCACGCCCTGCTGACACGGACGCGATTAAACAGACCGTTCCGAGACTGCGGTTTCCCCACATACTACACACAGAGAACCACGCGCTATAGCATACTAATCACCACGGTGCCAATAAGTATGCTACTCCAGTCGACTACGGCAATTTATAAATATATAGGGGCCGGATTTCCGTTAATTCCATCATCTCTACCATTGACCTAGCACTCTAACCGATTACGATAAACCAACGTAGCAGACTAGCCTGTACCCTCGGCTATTGATGTTC